TTCCATCCTTTTCTATGCTCTGAAATAGCTTTAATAGTAGTGGTGTTAACTCTTCTCTGAAAGTTTTGTAGAACTCTCCAGTGAAACCTTCAGGGCCAAGGCTTTTTCTTGTTGAGAGTTTTTTAATTACTTTAGGAAAATGTGTTTTTACCACGAAGATATTCAAAGCCATGTGTTAGGCCTATAAAAGCAAATCCCACAGTAGTGTTACTCCTTAAGGGCAAGGACAGAACTTTGCATCCTCGGTGCCTAGTAGAGTGCTGCAGACAGCAAGTGCTCAGTACACCATGTAGGAATAAAACTCTAGTTATATAAGTAGAAAGGAGCCCAGGTGGCGCAGTGGTGAAGTGCTTGGCTGCTGACCGAAAGGTCAGCAGTTTGAACCTACCAACTGCTCCAAGGAGAAAGATGTGGCAGTCTGCTTCCCTAAAGATTACAGCCTTGGAAACCCTATGGGGGCAGTTCTACTCTGTCCTATAGGGTTGCTATGAGTCGGAATCAACTCAACGGCATGGGTTTTTTCAGTTTTTTATATGAGTAGAGAGGAACGTATATATACACACATCCCCATATATGTGACAGGGAGAAGAAGGATGAACTAAAGGGAAGCTGTGCCTGAATTTGAGAAATAATTTGAAGCTTATAAAAGTAGGAAGTGGGTAGCGTCGTCCCTGTGTGTATATGTGTGTGTATGTATGCGTGTGTGTGTGAGAATGTGTGACTCACAGTGTGGCTGGCCTGGCCCCAGTGCAGCGGACAGCCCAGAGTTTCTGAACCCACCAGGGAAGTATCTGCAGATCCCAAGTGATGTGTTTTTGTCTTCTGTCTCACAGCCCCCTCCTCCAAAGACAGAGACGAAAAAAGGGCATAATGGAGGCAAAAGGGGTCAAGTAAGTATATATATTTATCACCCTTCCATATGACAGGATTTATTTATATATTCCCGGCCCCCATTCCTCTCCCCCATAGTCATTTTGCTCCAACACAGGGCTAATGCAAATGGCAATTACACAGTGATATTTAACAGCATTAACCAAGGCAGACCCAGAGCTAGAATCTAATTCTGTCCCCACCTCTCTCCAACTGGCTGCCTAGCGAGGCCTGGGAGAAGCACTTATGAGTAATAGGATTTGGCTTGAAGTGATGTGTTTGGGGAACTGAATTTCTCTGATAACTAACTGAAAGGCATATAGGATATTTTAGATCTTAATTTTACTACTTGGAGCCTGGTGGCACAGTGGTTAAGAGCTCAGGCTGCTAACCAAAAGGTCGTCAGTTCGAATCCACCAGCCATTTTACTACTATTAGAGAAAGAAAGAAAAGGCACAAAAAGGTGACCTTCGGTCTGGTCCATCTTAGATGAGCCTTTGCCGGGATCTAGATTGTGTCAGGTGAGCCAGGCAAACAGTCCACCTTGTGAAAACCAGAGCCTCAGGAGACCACTGGACTTGGTCAGTCAATCACTTTGTTGATTATAGGTGCTCTGACGTATTCTCCTACTATATGCTTAAACTTTCAACAAGGTAAATAGCTAGAACAGCCCGTAAGAACCCTGCAGATAATGGAGATGAGGGAAGGCCACTGACATCTGCAGTAGTTGCTCTATGAAGCCTGCAGTCACAGCCCTAACCTGATGGCAGGGACTTCAGAGTCTGTTGACATCATCAGCAAGAGGGGCTATTAAAGGAAGAGTTGGTAAAGATTTTTTAAAAAAATGAAGTTCCTCCTCAAAATTGGGAGAGAGAAGGGAAATATGTAAGTGCAGCAATAAGTAAAATACTTGACAGTTGTGTATGTTGGGATGCGAACATTTGGCTTTGCAAGAGAGGTAGGGGATGGTGAACAAGTAACCAAGTCTCAGTGCTGTTCCTTTAAGTCCAACCAGGTTGTCTTCTGTGTTCTGAGAAACTTAGACCAAGATCAGCCCCTTCCTGATCAGCTTTACTTTTTCCATTAGGAACAGGTTAGATATAGATTCTCGAGAGGCAGCCATGCCAGAGTTATGGGCATACACTCTGGAGCCACATTGCCTGGACTAAATTCTGTTCCCACTTACTTAACTCTCTGTTAAATGGAGATAATAGTAGTGCCTACTTCATGGGGTTGCTGTAAGGAGTAAATGTATTTACTTTATGCACTCAGAATAGCACCTGGCATTCAGTATGCAGAAGAGTGATGCTTTCATAGTTTAGAAGACTCCAGAATAAAATGCCTCAATTGATACACAGAAATTTCTCCCAACCTTTCCTTTGTTTGCTGAATAAAAGTTTCCACTCGTTGACATTAAAAATGTTGGACAGTTCTTACAATTAACTAAGGCTATCATCAGTAAAAATGGGATACTTATTCCTGGGTTCATGTTTACTCTTGAGTTTGGTACACACACACCCTGAGGCCTTCAGAATCACTGATACTGCTGCAACTTATAATTGCATAGTAGCAATTTATGGCAAGGGCACATCAAAGCTGACCTTGTATTAGAGGCATGTGACTGTCTTTCCCTAGGGTCATTTGGGTCTCTGAATCCTCTTCCACTGAATCCATCCTCAGTGCTGCAGGCTTTGAGCAGAAGTCTTCAATCTTTTGAAAAATAAACACCCTTTCCTGAAAGAAGGTTACATTTTACGTTTTAACAGTCATGTCTGTCCTTCTAAAGGAAAATAGAACATAGTGAAGAACAAGTTTGGAGAAGGGAATGGAGGAAGAGGACAGGCAGAGTTAGGGACAGAGGATGGACGTTTATAGGGACAGCCTTGAGATTCACCAGCCGCATGGCTGTGGTTCAGGTTAGCCCCACAGACAATGGCAGAGCTCAAAAAAACAGTCTAGGCGCACTGAAGGGAGACCAGTGTGCTCCAAGGCCAAACGTGAAAACTTCTGGAGTAACAAAATCATTCCCAGATACTGCAGAGGAATCATATGCCCAAAAGTTGCGTGGAGATGAGTGGGACCCCAGGCTAATCAAGAATCAGAGGGCCTCATCTTTGGAGAACTGTGTCTCGATGTAAACTATGCCTATGAACAAAAGCTCCAAGAACTTTAATGCACTGTGTTTACATGCATGGTTTTCTTTTGATCTTGCAGCAGCAGATCACTGGTAAGATGTCCCATCTTGGCTGTTTAACCATTAGCTTTGACACCATAGAGCAGCCCATCCTCCTAATACAAGGAATCTGTGCAAACCTGGGGCTGGAACTGGGAACAAATCTGCATCTAGCCATCAACTGTGCTGCACATGAGCTGATGGACTTTGTAAGTTTTCACTCCAGAACTTTTACTGTTTGTAAAGTTCTTTTTAAAATTAGTACTCAGAAGAAGAGCTGCTCTGACTCTTCCTTGAGCAGATCCTATTGTTTTTTATTAATATCGTGTGAGGAGGCCAAATATGGAGTTGAGACAGCCGAATTACCCAATGACCAAACAATAACATAACCATATAATTTAAAAAATTAAAGAGAATTTCTTAATAAAATTTAGATATAAAAATTCTGTAATAAAAACCAATCAAACGGGTGGGTTACATTGTAATCACGACAGCTACTGAAAAATAATCTAACAAACTGGTCTAAGGCCCCTGAGTAGAGTCATTCGGTTGGTAAATACTACATTTGTCAAGCATGAAAAGCGGATTAGTTCCAACTGTGACTCGCTAGGCTCTTTCAGGTATGTGGTTCTCAAAGTTTATGCTGTGTAGATACAGAAATATTTCCAAGTTATGGACTTTTATGGAGAAAATATTTTGATCCAACGAAACACATCAAAGAGGTATTCACAGGCTGGGTTAGGAAGGCAGGGCCTTAGGAGCTTCACCAGGGGAACCAGACCACCTGGAGGAAATTTTAAGAGAGAGAGAGAGAGAGAATGCAAACTCAAGCCTTGAATCCAACAGGTTTATCACCAAATGTTGCAGTCCTCACTTCCTTGGGGGTAATGCACCACCAACTAACCTTTACACTTGGCAAGCTGGTGTGTCAGGGCAACTATGAGAAGTTTTCTGTCTTATACTTCCATTTATACACATCTTATCCACATACTTGCCATTTTTAAGTACACAAATGCCCAGCATATTGATATATATTTATGGTGATTTGGTAGTCGATGTCAAATTCAGGGCAATACAGCCAAATAGGATTCTGTTTTAATGTGTGATTCTTACTTTAACTACAAAGGAAATTTTTGAGCACTATGTAAGAATCCTAAGTTTCAAATGATTTCTAAATGTTCTTTTACTTTCCTAAAGAAACTAAGTACATAAAGGAATGTTGAAAGTAATTTCCTTTTCTTCACATAATGAATGGTTCCTAGGCATACCATTAAGAAAAATAATTGCATGTTTTCATCCATAGCGTATACCAAGAACTATGAATATACTGACTGCTAGTGCTAGCTAGAATGGGTATTTATTGCTTATATTCAATAAAGTGTATTAGCTTGATATCAGGTAATTCTTACAATAATGTTAGTTCAAAGTCATCAGCACTTCCTCACTGACAAGATAGGACTTCTAAGCTTTGCATTATGGAAACTAAAAGTTTTTGCTGCTTTTTAATGTGAAAAAAGTATAAAATCCCTTCAGTTATGGACTTCTTAGGAAACTGCCTAATTCCAGTGGAATCCATTCTATTAGCAGCAGCAGCAGGAAGCCTTTGGCAAACCAAACATCCCCTCTGGTCCATCCCACCTGCCTCCCAGTACCTGAATGTCCCAGGTGCCATCCCTAAACACAGACTTGGAAGTAAAGGTGCTTTGTTTTGCAGAAAGACTACATTAGATCTTTCAGCCACGTTTATTTCTATACCTAATGACTTGGGAACTTTCCAGACCTAAATGGACGGATTACTCTCAAAGTCCCCTTTCAAGACAATATTGTGAGCGCGAGACGTTACATGTTATCTGAGAAAGAAGTGCCTTCACATGTCACTTTACATTTCATATTAGTTTTAGTACGTCAAAAGCCTAGACCTGGTTTCATATTTTATTTATTCATCGTAGAGGAAACAATGACTTGTTCACTGTGAGTTGAAAGACGGCGTGTTCTAGTGAGTGGGCAGATATGCACTGCTTTTCTGTTTGTAGTTTTATGAATTTAGGTTATTGTCCACCTACCCAGGCAGCCGGCTATCTGGCACCAGGTGGTAAACCCAAATCAGACATTATTCCCCGCCCACTCTGTGCCCGCTGGTTCTTTGTGCAGAAGGCTTCATCCGAAGGCAGTGGGACGAGTTCAATGGGTATCAAGAGAAATAAGAATCTGACTGAGAGCAGCTATTTCTCTTTAAGTGGTGACGTGATTCCCTCAGGTTAATATTTAACAGATATTTAAAGTGAAATGCAGAGATTTCTCAGGCGAATGTGACCTGAAAAGAATCTGCTTACCAACTTTTATAATTACCTGAATTTGAATCACATCTTTAACATCTGAAGTATTCATCATTCATCCTTTAATATTTTCCTGACACATACCAGAGTAAAGGGAAGTATGAAGTGATGATGGGAACGTTAAAAAGTGCAGCTGAGATGGTTGACCTGTATGTGGATCTGATCAACAAACACCCTTCAATTATTGCCTTAATTGATCCTTTCAGGAAGGAGGTAAGCAGGACTCGCCTTGAATTTTACAACAGAACATAGAACAATACAATCTCATTCTTTTTGGACCTCTGTCATTCAAAATGTACTGTAATTTGGGCTGGGGCTTAGCTGCTTTCTTTCAGCATTTATGAGTAAAAGGCACTTACTAAGCAAATGAATACCAGCAACACAATTACATAGGAGTGGGCCTGTCCACACAATGAAACCAGCCATTCCCAAGCCCTTTAGGAGCACCTGTGTATTTACAAGCAACCTAACTGATGGAAGCCGAGCCCGCTGTGCTCCCTGGTGCTTCAATAGGTTAATCATATATCATTTTCACGTGCTCATGGAAACAGGCCTCATGCGAGGCCAAATATTTTTTAACCTGAATCCAGCTACTGCATATGCATAGAAATAACGAAGCCATATTTGCGAACGTTTGAGATACCGAGGTTCCCTGATCTATTCAAACTAAGGCATCTGCCCAGGGATGTTTATGTGCCCCAGGAGACCAGCTCTCTTCCTAACCCACTTGTCTTAGTCTCCTGGTGCTACTGTAACACAAATACCACAAGGAGGTGGCTCTAGAGAACAGAAATGTGTTTTCTCACAGTTCTGGAGGCTGAAAGTCCTTATCAGGGTCTCTGCCACGTCGATTCCTTGTCGGTAGCCCGGGGTTCCTTGGTTCCTGGGTTTGTGGAGGATCCTCACGTGGCATCTATCTTCTCTAGTATATCCTTGCTTCTGTGTCTCATCTCTTCTTTTTATAACTCAGTAGTGATTAGGTTTAGGACACACCCTACCTGATATGGCCTCATTAGCCTAACAAAACCCTCTTTCCAAATAGGATTACATCCACAGTATGGGGTTAGGAGTCCAACACCTACTTTCGAGGGGATGCAGTTCAATCTATACTACCACTTAAAACAAACTCCAAAACTTGAAGTCTTGATTTTCTGAATTTGAGAACTATTAGATATATTGAACAAATATGTTGAATAATACTTTAGCCTCTTAGAGCTAATTGTTTAAACACTGGGGACAATAGAACTTATGGATCTAATCTAGAGTCCCGCGGGCTCTCAGTCCCAACCTGCACATCTTTCCTTTCACAGCCTATGCTAGATGCCAGCACCTGTGAAAGACACTGACGGGGCTCAGCGGTCACGTTGCCAGGTCTGCCTTTGGATGAGGGTGTCCTGAGGTTCTGACCACAGCTTGCATAATGTGATAGATGTACCTGCATGGTTTGTTCGAATGCAAGAGGTTGAAATCTGATAGAATGGCTGGGATGGCTTTGTATATTGTTTCCTTTTCTAATAATAAGCATTTAATGTAGTAGTCTCACCAATAAAAATAGGGATGTTGAGAAAGAGGGCCTAGAGCCCTTGCAGGCTCTTTTCTTCCAGTTGTCTGTTTACCAGAAATAACAGCAAAGTCTTCTAACCAGGCAGTCTGCAGAGGCATTATGGATATACAGTGGCTGAGAAGAGCCTGTATGAAGAAGTCCAGAGCCAGTATTGGGAACAGCACTTAATGTCTATTAACATTTTATTCACTAGACCTTTAAGCTCAAATTGACGTCACTTTCAGCTTCTGTTCGTGAAGGTTATATTGTGTGGCTGTGGTAGCAGATGTCATTCAGCCAGAGATGGGGGAAAAAATAAACCCCACAGGGTTTGTGTGTCTCTCAGGAAAGTTATGACTTTGATCATGTGCTATAAAATTCCTGTTGTTTTGAGATTATGTTCAATACGTTGTAACACTCAATTCTTAAATATTTACCCAGGACTTGGAACAGTGGGACAGCATCTATAATGCGCTTGGTTCCAGGTGTTACATAATTGCAGGAACTGCATCCAAAAGCATCTCTAAGCTTCTAGAGGATGGAAATATCAGCATCCCCAGAGCCAGCGGGCTGATCATAAAACACACAAATCAAACGACAATGTCTGATTTGGTGGAAATAACCAATCTCATTGACAGTGAGTAAAAGTATAGACTTGTAAGACCCATGATGAACTTAACTTGGTTTTACAAGATGCCAAAAATAGGCAGTATTTCAGAGCTAATAAAAGCGTCAAATAAATCTTGGAAGAAAAAATTCCACCCATTTGTGAAAGATTTAGTGCTGAAAAACAAAATGCAGCTTACTGGTTCACTTCACAGAGTTCCAGTAACAGCCCCAACCCATGGGGTCATCCCCTTCTTAAGGGCTACCACAACTGGGCAGCTAAGGCCATTGCCCTGTCAGCTGCACAGGGGGAGGGCCTTCTGCCCCTAACAGCAGGACCAAGGCCTCTGAAAGAGCATAACCTTCAGCATGTTTACCAGTTTGGTTTGGACTTCAAGTTTGGGCTACAGAACAACTTTAGAGAGACACAGAGGGATAACCCAACCCTTACTGCTAAAGAACAGGGCTCAAGCTTCGATTCTTGGTCTTTAGAACACCTGTATGGCCACTTGCCTTAGCCATGTCTCCAGGCACAATGCACTATTCAAGGTAAGGAAGACAGCTTACCATCCATAAAGGCAAGGCTTCATGCACAGCATCAGAGCAGCAGGGACAGATGTGCTTAGCCCGCATCACATTGCTACGGTGTTGTAAATTCCCTCCTATTATTTACTATCACTTTCTGCTCTAGATTCGTCTTCTAGCATCTTAAGAACAGGGACCACAACTCTGCCTTCCACGGAGGCACTGCCCAACTACACAGTAAGGATGTAGTAACTACTTGATTGAAAATAAATTTAGCTAGTTGTAATTTACCAAGACATCAGCGGGCCATCTTAATTTGCAATGCCTTGGGGAAGTCTAGGAAAGACCAGAATTTGGAACTAGATCACCTACTGCAGGGAGTGGTTCTGCTTCAGCCGTTAAGCAAACAGGATAAGAAGATCCAATCTGAAGCAGCAGGTGGTTTCCTGTCAGTACAGAGACCTGGTGGGGTGGGAGTGGGTTCACCACTAACAGGCAGGATTGGGAAGCAAGCAGGCTGGCCGGTTAGCAAGGCAATGTAAAATCAGGGAAGCTTCTGGAAGCAGACCCTTCGCCATTCAACCTGGGATTCAGGAGCAGAATGCCAGGCACCGGGGAATGAGAGGCGCAAAGCAGAGCTCCAACGCTGGTGGGTCTGGGATGCGAAAGGAGAGAACCTTTATTTAGGGCCAATGTGTCAGGCATTTTGAAACTGGAGTTGATCCTTAGAGCAGTCCTATGAGGTAAAGGTAAACATTATCATTTCCATCTTACTGATGAGGAAACAAGGCTTGGAGAGGTAAGGTAAAGTCCCCCATGACCCCACAGTGATCCCACTCACCCTCACTAGCCCTTTTTTAATTCCTTAAAAGGTTCAAACTCTTCACTACCTGAAGGTCTTTGAACCTGCTGTTCCACCAGCCTAGAGTGCTTTGTCCTATACTTTTTATATGGCCTATACTTATCCTTCATGTCTTGGCTTAAACGAAACCTCTTCAGATGTATATGCCTTGCCCAACTTCTCCCACCCCGACAGGTTCTGCTCTGATCCTTTCTCATAGCATCCTATACTTTCCTTTGATGGTACTAACTACAATTACTTGTACAATTATTTAATGCCTGGTCTCCCCCACTAGACTGTAAACCCCCATGAGTTCATGGGAGTCTTGTTCACTTATGCCAGTGCCTGAAACATAAATATCATGAGTGGGGGGTCAGGAACGAAGCAGAAGGTTAATCTCAGACCTGGAGCAGGATTGGAGCCAGACGGGCAGCCAGGGGCCTGGGCCAGTGCCAGGGCTGGAATGAAATGCCTGAAGCCCCTCAGGCTGCAGGACACCTCATCTAGGGCCCCAGGTGGGGCTGGCCTGCAGGTGGTCGATTGGAAGGCCTCACCCATCCTGTCATCCACCTCAGATTGCTGCTGTAGCTCCTGCCTTTGAAACGCAAACACTATCACTATCAGGGGAACTGTGGCTTGCACGCTGTAGATTTTGGCAAATTTCAAGGGGTTCTGAGATCCTCAAATGCTTGATTAAATACCACCAACACTGCTCATCTAGTAAGTAAACACTCAGAGTGGCAGGTTCCTTTGAGTCAAATTCTGCACGAGGAAGTGCCAAAGCCACTGTTTATACACATTCACTTCCCATGCAACGCCCTGGCACTTACAGTATTTCACTGACTCACAGGTGACATTTTTCTACGTTGAACACAGATGAAATTGAATCCCATCTTACAGCTGTGGTTTTACAAATACGTCAATCTAATTTGGACATTTTCCCCCAAGTGATAATGAAAATGGTGCATCTTACAATTTATGGCACCTTAAATTTGATGAAACGTGGTGTTCATTTAGTATATAGTATCTAAACTGTGGGAAAGAGGTGTAAACAGATAAAACCAGGGCAATGAAAATGCAAATGTTTGGGTTAGAATTCTTAGGTGATCAAATTGTTTGATTCTTAACAGGAAATGTGTAAATCTCTGGCCAATTTTAAATTGTGATCCCAGAGGTTTATATGTAGGCTAATTGTTTCCACACCGAGTAAAACTGAACACACTTCCTTGCTGACAGGTAAGAAGCACATTGCTGTCTTTGGAAGTACAGAAGGAGAGTCGGCTGATGATAGCCTTGTCGATTTGGTAAGTGCTGAAAGCTGGTCAATTGCAGAAATGCCAAAACACTGCTTTTATCACGAATTGGTATTTCAGGGAAGTGCAGTCTGTGGTGGAGAAAGTCATGTAACCTTTTATGAAAGAGACTTGCTTCCTCCCAGACAACTACCTTTTGCAAAGAGCTAATCTTTGAACTTTTAAAAAGAAGAAAGATTGAAGTCCAGGAAAAATGATGAGTCCACTTAAATGACTGGGGTGTGCACCTGCAATCTTACCTCCTAAAATGAAGCACGAAAGGCCAGCCTGTTCTTAGATAAAATCAGCACGCTTATGTGACTAGTAAAGCGTCTAATGTCCAGTCACACCATCTCTTTACCTTTCGACACTCTGAGCTTGTAGGTAGGCTACTTCACTCTTACGTAAAGATAAAAAACTAAGACATTTAAAAAAAAAAAAACTTACCACGACAAAGTTTCTTCTCTAAGGAATTACGTGAAGTTTAGCAAAACATGACTCCTCCATTTAAAGCAAGTTGTTTTCCCCCTTCAGGCTGTTGGACTGGGTGTCCGGTTTATCAAGCTGGGAGGTCTTTCTCGCGGCGAACGGGTGACTAAATACAACCGCCTTTTTACTATAGAGGAAGAACTTGTCCAGAATGGAACACTGGGTAGGCACTGCTTTCCCGCTGTTTTCACTTCGCCATGAATAAGAGAACAAAGGTTGGAAGAGGGGGAATAGCAGCCCCTCGGCGGGAGGGCAGGGGAATCCAAAGACCCCAAATACATGCTGACAGCACTACGATGGCGTTCGCCACAAAGCACGGTGTTGTCTCAATGGACCGTCTATTTACCTGAACGCTTAAAACGCTCGCCCTTCCTGCTGAATAGGCGGCGTGATGCTTTTCAATAGAATTAATTGATTGGAATCTCCAAGCCTACCTTTTGTTATGGTCCAAATTATACTTTAAGGTTTCTCTGCACAGCCCAGGAAGTTAAAGGCAGATGTTTTCCTGATGCACCTTGGAAACAACTCTTTCCCCTCAAAGGAGGCGGCGGCATGCTAATTTCAACGTTGTGCCTTGGAAAGGCGAAAGTCAATCATTTATGACATCAGACCCCTCTAAATCCGCATAGGAAGGAGCATATTGTGTGCTGGCTCACTGGAGTGAAACACCCCAAATATGCATTTTTATTTTTTGTATTACTGACTGTGATGGCTAAAAAGAGGTCCTTAGCATGCAGAGACATTTTTAGAGACCAACGGAAATTGTGATTTTAAACTTATGTTTAACGTTAGTAGTGAGTTTGACAACATACTCTAAGATTCATAGAAAACAAAGATAATTGGGAGACTATTTCTGTTCTGAGTCATGTAAGGCAGTCAAAAGTTTGCTTGTGTTCTGTGTGTGTGTTTAATACAAGGGCTTGTTTTTTCAAATAGGTAAAACTGTATTGTCCCACCTATCACTCGGCTGTGGTGTATGTCATCCTGCTGACTTGTGGAAGCCTCAGGTCCCTTAATTGACCTATCACATTTCCCGCCAGACTTCACTACAAGGGAAGCAGTTACTTCAGGGCATCAGAAAGAACACTAGTGACCACAGGCCCAGCCCCCTCCTTGGTGACAGTGCAGGCCCCTAAGCATTCCAGAATGGATTTACGGATTAACTAGAATTTCTGACATTGGCAGCGGTCAATAAATGTGAAGGGGACCAAAAAATGGAAAAACAAACCTCCCTGCTCCCTACTTTTAAGTAGGAAATCTTGGTAAAATAAGGTCATTACCTATGAGCACCTGACTACAACAATTCGAGTCTACATTCATTACCTTGGAGTAGTCAGCTGACACCAGTTTGCATTCATGTACAATACTGGCCTTTACATCATCTCCTTCCTCCTATCCTTTTCTGCCAAGACTCTGGCCCAAAGTCTACTGCACATCAAAACGTTCCAGAATGTTGGATTCGGGTATAATGTAAATTGCAGAGAAGCCGCATTGCACAGTTGATGTAGAACCAAAGGCAGGCCCAGTTTTAAATGGTTCTGGAAGCCTTTCTAATGGCAATCTTAGCGCTGTTGAGGGCAGCACTGCTGTGTGGCATGTCTGGCCAGTTAAAATCATATAACAAACATCATCTTAAAATGAGCACCATTGGAGAAGACAATAAACTTTATTGTTGCTTTTTTAAAAAACAGGTTTCAATGAAGAACACAACTTTTTTTACTTTAACGAGGAAGCCGAAATGGCTGCCGAAGCACTGGAGGCTGCTGCCGCCGAGGCTGGGGAACAGCCCGAGCCCCCGGAGCCCGTCTTCCCCACGGAAGTTGTACAGGAATCAGCCAACGCATGAGCATCTTCAGGCTAGCTTCACGCCGGTTCATAGCCACGCCATTAACTGTCGGACTGGTAGACTGGAAGCATGTCTCCATATTCATTTTACTCTAACATGTCACTAACTCATGTGTTCTTATTCTTTTAATTTCATTCTTTAGTAAAATACATAAATGGTATATTTGTCCTAAATTACACCCGAGAACTTTGTTTTATAGCCATCGCGTTTCCATAGGGATTTTGTTAGTCCGGTAACTCTACTGTCTGGTTTTGAGGGTCATGGCTTAGTAAAGGGGGCCATTACCTTTGTTAATGACTCCAAACTCAGTTCAAACACCTCATACTTTACAAATCAGAACATTCCAAAGCAAAACCTAGCTGAAGGAGAGGCGCTGTGCTCGAACAGGTGCACATCCTGGCTTGTCTCCTAGCTCTCTGCTAGAAAGCACAGACGCATCACTGTTGCCAGCCTCGGGCAGAAGCATGCACACACCGCTGTCTTTTATAACAGCCTCCCAGCTTCACCTCACTCTCCTACTCTTCATTCCCTTTGCCCTGATTCCTCTTCTTTTTAAATTTCAGTTTTCCTTGTATTATTTCTACCTTTGTGTGTCTCTTTAGATCTTTTTTGGCACAAGAATGGCTATGAACAAACATATCAATGGACAAATAAATATTCTTAAGGCTACTGAAAGCGCAACTATTTCTACTGTGGCATTAACTATAATAAGAAATAGCAAGTGATTAAAGAAGATGCAAAGTATATGTGGACTGAACTGTCTCCTTTGTAAGCTAGTGTTGGGATTAGAACAGAGAAGTGCCCAAAATAAACATATGCAAACACATACCTACACATATAACATCCAATTGCCTGATATGCTTTAGGTTTCTTTATTAAAAGGGCTACTATTTGCCTTTCTCCAAAAGGATATAAATTGCTATGTACTGACCTGTAGGAGAGCTGGCTGAGTTTAGATTTCTGACGTATTCTATACATTCTGACTCAGCACACTAAGGCCCTCTCCTTTGGAAGACTACTAAACAAGGGAACTTAATGTCTCATGGTAGAGCCAAAGCCCTACTCTCAAAGCTATGATGTGAAACTGGCTCAGTGGCAGACTCGCTCAGAGCACAGGGCAGGAGAACTGGCTGGTCTCCCTCTAAGTTGGGAGAACTGTGTCACAGTCTGTGGTTGCTATTTCCCCCTCCTGATGCTTAGCAACAGACTATGGGGTATGAGAAACCTGGAAGAAAAATTCATTTTAAAGGCAGGAAGAACATGACTGGGTGTTTACATAGCCCTCACACATGTCCTCAGACACATATACACACACACACACATGGATTATGGGAATATGCCCCAGAACTGTGATACAAATTATAATTAAATGAACAAAACCAGAGCAAAAATGTGCAACCAAGTTAACAACCAACTGACTAAATTAACCAAAGAGGTGACTTATGACCTCAACCAGGTATGCACTTTGATGTCAACACGGAGCACAGCCTGCTCACCTGAGGCTCAACTGAGGATTCGGCTCACCAAAGGATAAAAAAGCATTTTAATTTAAATTTCTTCAACTGTTTCTACTTATGTTTTTCTATAGCTAGATAAATATACATATAAAGAGGAAAAACACCATCTGTAAAAGAGATGAAAGAAACTAGTCATACCTGATTTTTAAAAATGACAGTGGGATGTGGCCATGTTAATGCTGGGAAGAAATTTCAAACCAACAGCATCCTTCAGTAAGGACTGCTTGAAATCCTTCTAAGGTCAGTGATGATGATGGGTATCTACTCTCCACAACTTACTGGCACATAATCTAAAGTCGCTCCATGATGAAAATGATTAAACGCGCATAGTATACCTTTAGAAAAATCACCCAGATATTGTTTTTAAGACTCTGTGATACAGACTTTCCTGACAAAGGACCTCAGAATGGTCTGGAAAGATCTACTCTGTTCCCAACAAACTTTTTACAGGTAGTCCCTGGCTTACGAGGTTGTTGGAATGACACCCCGTCCTAACTTGGTTCTGGCGTAAGTCGAAATACCTTTTTTTTTTAAGTTTTCATTATTATTGCCCTTTATTATCAATATCTTTATAAATGCAACCTTTGAACATCTGCCAGTGAACTTCTGAGAACGAGAGCGTTAGCAAATTACATACGGCAACACTGTAGGTCGTACATACAGGTATCCCCTGCTTTTCAAAAGTTTGCTTTAAGACACTTCACTTTTATGAAAGACCTACATTAGTACCTGTTTTGGATAACTGAAAGAAGACGATTTTCGCTTTTAAGAAAAAAAGGTGAAAAACGGAAACAGCACTCAGTGTTTTGCAACGAGCCATTAAAGGGACAGCACGCAGCCCAAGCAGCGGGAGTGGCGTCGCCAAGCTCCTTCCCCTAGAACTACACTCAGCATCTCAGCATCAAGCTGCCATAGCTTTGAACTGTGTCTGTGAGCATCTGTGCTTTATCTCAATTTATTTTGTGCATCTGTTAGCAAGATGTGTCCTAAGGTATCAGAAAAGCCTAAGAGAGCTCATAAGAGTTTTCGGTGTTACTTGGTATGATTTGGTAGGTTATTTTTTGGCTCTGGGAGCACTCAAAGTTTTCCCATATAAATTAATGGTAATTGCTTCTTCACTTTATGCCATTTTGGCTTACGCTGTACTTTCAGATAGTGGGGGGAAACCTGTATTACTAACAATAAGATGTACAAAAAAACCCAAAACAGACCATCGTAAATGTGGTTCGTTGCAACTCCAATATGTTGTAAGTCGGGGACTACCTGCACTGTTAAAAAAGAAGGGTAGGAAGGAGGAATTACTAGGTCACATGAGTCGGAGTCAACTCAGTGGCAACTGGGTTTTTAGTCAGAGCCCAAATATCCATCCTTTCTACTCAGGCCAAACTAGGCTGGATGAGTTCAGCCCTGTTGACCTAGACAATCAGAATTTCCACAGGGCTGACCAACTGCCAACAATACCGTGGAGATTAAGTTATTTAAGACTAGCCCAAATACAAAAGGATGCTGGAATTTTACTTAAATTCTTACCCTTCCAGAAAAGGAGGGAGATGGTTTCTTTTTCTTTTTGTGCAAGGGCACAAAGTATCCTTTTGCCTCACTCTGGCCATAAAATGCATCAACATTAGTTAGGAAAACTCTGTAGAGGACGAGACCTAATTTATATTTCCAAAACAAAAGGAAGAATAAATAGTCTTTTAGAGAAAACAGAAACATAAAGTTGGCAGCCCCTTTCAACTTTAAAATAGTAGAAGATGTGTAATTTTCTGTGCAAATAGGGTGAGGAGACAAGCCCCAGTAGTCTTCCCGTCTGGGACTAACTACTAATGGCACCCTGCCAGGGGCAAAAATATCCTCAAAAGTGAGGTGACAGGGAAACCACACAGGCGGAAAAGGGTGAGTAAATATTCTACGTCAAATACCTTTACATTAAATTAGTTTAAAACATTCTGTGATGGCGGTGAAGGACAGTAAGCAGCTTAGAAAAGAGCAAGAACATTTTCAAAATACAGTTACTAAGCAACTGTTGCCTGGTCCAGCTAACACATCTCACCAGATGGTTAACTTCTTACCCTAGAAATAATGGCTAACATTCTGTTGATGTGTGTGATGAAATACGGAACGATGAGTGTATGTAGCTGTCGATTCCTAAATATCTCGGGTGCGTGCCAGCAGATGGATGACAGGCACGTGGGGGAGAGTATTCGAAACATGGAACAAAATTCCTCAAATCAAGCATTTTATGGATTATTAAAAATGACTAGAGTTATCAACTCTCACACAATTACCCTATTAAAGAATGTCGAGCCTGAGGAAACAAACCCAAAATGTCAATAACCACACTTGACCCTTCATGGGAAACTGTTGGTACTTTTTAATAGGTTGTGGTGAGAAGAGTTCAAATCACAGCAAAACAGAACTCGTTTGAGTGAACCAGTGCAGTGTGTGGTCAGCATAACATATAGCAGTATTATTCAGTTAGGGAAAATGACAGTTGAAAAACATTACATCTTAATTCCACACGAATAAATGGATAAGTAACTGTAAAATCATCACTGGAAGAATATGGAAATAGCCAAGCATAACAAACCTACAGAAAGAGAATTATCTCCAAGCTTAGGAAGTACATTTACCTGCCTATCCACCTCTTCAAACCTACGCTTTAGCACACGTGCAAAAATAAAATACGACTGAAATTATTACTATCATTTTCTTTTGCCCTTAGGTGAGAAACACCTGACAGCTACATGCTGAGCCATGCTAACAAAAACTAAACCTTGCACATTCTTTAATAGTAAAATTACCATTACTGAATCATTGTCATAAAAAAACACATTCAAGTACATTACCACGTATTTTAAATAAACACCAATTTTGAAAGAATCAACTTTGAAAAGCTGCGTAAATGAAAAAAAAAAAAAAATCCCTGATTACATTTCTATTTATTCACTGTGGTAGCCTGAAACGTTGTATTTTTAGAGACTAACTACCACTTAATTTCTTTAAAAACACACACACACAAAATCCTGTGTAATGTAGAACGGCAGCGAAGCAAGAAAACTGCTTGTCACTTGTCTTCACTGTACATAAGAACTGTGGTAAAATATGGTACTTGTGGCACATTAGTACATGAGAAAACACAATTAACTCACAGCACAGAGCACATGGCTTACCAAGATAATACTGTACTGAATTGAATTCAAGGATTGGACTTGGGCATTCCCCTCAATTCTGCTTCAGGCCACCAGAGTATTCCCACCATAGCCCTTGGGAGGCTTTAGACAGGATCGATAGCATGTATTTTTCATCCCACAGTTAACAATGTGTGTAACTAACATTGACTATGGGACCACTAATTTGATGCCAGCTCCTGGATTTTCAGCTTATCTCAGTATCCCCAGGAAAGTCACTTGTATGCCACAAAGCCCAACAGTTCCCATGCTACTGCAATTTCTCCATCAAAAGTGGATCAGATCCAAAACAGAAGCTTCTTTGGGGACCTTTAAGTCACACTTAGTTTTGTTTGTCCAGTTATCCCACAAGTACCAAAAACGTTCAGTATTACATCTGATGAGTGGTATGCACATTATCTAAAAAGATACCAACATCTGGATTTTTTGTAACCCTTTTAAAAGAAGCCACACTTAATACAGTAACTAGGAAAAATCTTATCCCTATAAAGATCAAAACCAAAAACTACTTGTGTTGTTTTGCTAAATAGCTTACTTATGTTTATAGTTGAAATACATACTTATAAAGTGACATTTAAAAAGAATCTGTATTCTGAATAGAGTTACAAGAACAGAATGTCTATAGCCCTTGCCAATAGGCCAGAACTAATCATGTGCTTATTGTAAAGGACTTGCGAATACGTGGGCCTCCTGGTGTACAGATCAGCAGCTGGAGCTGTCTGTCTCTCTGATTTTTTCCATGCTGTCTTCTTTGCATTCTGGTTTAGTTTTGCCTTCATCCTCCTTGGGTTGAGCTGGATCTTTTTCAGCTACCTGATCTTTGGTTTCGGATGCATGTGTGGAAATAGGATCTAAAACTATAACTGGTCCAGCTTGTTCTTCACTGCCCACGTCTTTTCTCTTGCGTCCAGTGCTACTGGGAGGCCTATGGAACGAATAGTTAAACAAACAAAAAGCAGAGAGAGAAAATATTTGTCTTTCATATTCCTGGATTCATGCAAACATAAAAACCAACATGTGCTAAGTCTAACCAACATGCACAAAGTTTCTGTGAGATGCCAGCCATTAAAAAAAGAAAAAATGAAGCTATCAGATTACATATTAGGAGCACAAGGAAAGAAGAAAGAAGGCGAGAAAGTCAGAGCAATTAACTAAGGAAGTGTTAAAAAGCAAAATGCACCTACCTCCAAAATTACATGCTCTTCTCGGGAAGTGCAAAGCTCAGGGATACACTGAGCGTTCCTCTGCATGCGCCCAGCCTCCTGCCACGCCCTCACTTAGCGGGAAGGAGCCAGTTAACCCCCTTTCCTGTGCCCCAGGTTCAGGTGGCTGCAGATTAGCTCTGAGGAGACTGCCTCCATGAGGGGAAGTGACTCACCCTGATCACTGACGGACAGCTGCGAGATGTGCCAGCGGCTGCATTTACTGACTAGAAGAGAGCTGGTCAGGGCCGAGGAGGGGCAGTAGAGGGCAAGGGCAGATGGCAGAATCCAGAAAACAAGCTAAGCTGCTAAGTTACCACACATTTTTTTTGAAAAGGAGAATCAGATTTTTGAGAGATTTTATATTTAGGTGTAGTTTCTTTTTCCTTTCTGCTCTTCTGATGCAGGATGCTACTGCTTCTTCAGGTGAATGAGTAGCGGTTTTGTTGTGGAGACAGAGATGTCTCTAGAACACTCTTCTCTCACCACGTATCAGGAAATCAGGCTGTTGGCACCTCGTCCTTTCAGAAGTCATGGTCAGAGCCCACCATCTGAAGGTACTGGGCTGCTGGCCTGATGGCTGAAGGTTGAGGCAGCTGGAGCTGGCAGGGCTGCGGCTAGTCAGACTTGTCTGGTCTTCTCAGCCAACACTCGGATTCGGACTCTGCCCCAGAGGGCTGGATATTAAACATTCACCAGCACACCACCGTCCTACCTCTGGATGTCAGGACGCGTACTGGGGAACTGCTAGCCACTGTCTGTCCACTGCTCTACCAGCTCCTCACCGGGAGCCGATTTCTCGTATTCCCTGACCTGCAGGTCAGATCCCCCGGTTAGATACTCTCTGACCATCAAAAGTACTTCTCCCTTGCCGGACTTGGCACAACTGTCATTAAATACTGTCTCTTTAAATGGTAAGTCAGCATCCATGAGGCAGGGGCCGTTTAGTTTTGTCCACAGTTATATCCCTACCACTCAGCTCAGATCCTGGTGTTTGTGGAGTAAACAAAGGGGTGGATATTAATAACCTGTGAAAGGTTCAGAACGAATGGGGAGAAACGAAAGCTTTGGTGTGAGCAGGTCTGAAGGGCTCTCTTACACAATGAAAGCGACAGAATAAACCATCAACTAGTGACGGAAATGGCCTGCCTGACCAGCCCCAGGTACAAACACGTCAAAGCCAATGATCACATTTTGATTACTTTCTGACCAGTGCCATACCACTCCATCTTGCTATCAGGTTATACAAACTGTGTAGCTTGGCATCATCAGCAACACATAGCTCTGTCTGTCTTGGAGGTCGTAAAAGCAGAGATGCCCAGAAGCCTGGAAAGAAAGCTATGCTGTAGTAAGGACAGATTCCTTTATTTTTGCCTGGATTTCGTTGGAAAACACCATGACATTGTTCACCCACCCTGGCCAAGGAACCCTCCCTTCTAGACATCTGTTGCTATGTTTTGAGAATCAGTTTCTCACTGTAACACAACAGCCCCACCTGAAGTTGGATGCTATTTAAAAGCCATCCTTTCCCAAACACCATCTTCTCTGCCTGCCTTGCTCATGACTTGATGTAGTTTCCCCAGTGCTATCTGTTGTCTGACATTCTCTGACCCAGGAGACGCCTGGAAGACTGTACGCTTTAGGAGTTGATTAGAGAAGCAGAACACTATAAGAGATGTAAGGGAGTTAGTAAAGGAATGAGACCCTAGGCAATGGAGGGAGCTAATTAGGCAGTCTGCAACTGATGCTGGGCCTCAAGTCAGCAGTTCTGGCAGATGGGAAGGAAAGTGGGAGAGACCAAGAACAAACTAGAGCCTCATCTGTCTCTTGCCACCTCCAGTCCTGATGATGAAGATGATCTGCAGGATAGGCTGGAGCCCTTCCCCATGGAGCTATACACGTACATGGCCAAGGATCTGAAGAAGCTGAGGGAAGAGGCCCGGATGGAGCTGGAGGAACTGTGGGCCCAGCTGCTGCCATATGCCAAAAAGGAGAGTCAGCACATCAGCCACAAGGTGCGTGAGCTGGAACACGCCTACCCTACACTGACCTTCAGAGCATTAAAAAAAAAAGCTACTACTTCAGTTTCACCTTCTAAATCTCATGCAAACTTCTCTCGTGGCCAATCCTAACCTGGAAACATCTGAGTAGAGGAAATCTGGGAAATGAAATTCCAGCCTAACTGAATTGTTAATAGTTCAAAGCCAGTCCAGCTCACCATCTTGGGTCTGAGCCCACTGTTTCATATGCCAGCCAATCTACCTAAGCATGCAAAGGTGAAGTATTTATCTCATTCTAAGGTGAGCAACTTCCATCAACCCACATTGACCTTCATCACTTCTGTAGAGCTACCACAGATGTTCTCATGCCCAGGTGTGTCTGCAGGTGAAGGGTGGTGAACACATCCTAGAAAAAGCTCTCCTCATCAGCTGGTAGACTTCCAGAAAATGTTCTCAGGGCTCCACAAAGGCAATAAATACCTTCGTGAACTGGAAACTCAGAAATCTTAAAATGCTGGGCTGAACTGTCTTGGAATTGTCTCCTTGTAAAGAATTGTTCTTCTGTCCTGAAGTAACCTTCTCGACTGCAGATTAATCTATTACTAAGTCACCCAGAAGCTACAATCTGAGAAACTCTCTGTTGATTATCACTGAGCTGGGCACAGTGGGCAATTTCTCTGAATCTATGCACTCAGAGTCAGAATACCTGGCTTCTTTAGAGTAATGATCGCTGACTTGGAGTGCCATTGGTTTAAGGCTGAAAGGGACAAAGGCAATCATCTGGTCCTGCCTGTCCTTTGACAGAGGAGGAAAATGAGGCTTGGAAAGGGAAGAGGCTGGCCTACAATCACACAGCTCATCAGTGGCAGAGCCAGAACACAGATCAGAGACTCCTGGCTCCCCATTCCTGCCTTTCCCACAGCACCATGCAGTTCATGAAAGGCAATTTCTCCTAGGAACACGATGATGATGCTACAGGCTAATTTTGGCATGTTAAATGTTTTTTCTTTCTGAATCCCTGTTCTGAATCTATCTTGATTTGCTTCTTTGAGACCTGTAAATAAAAAGTATGTCCCTTCAAGCTGTTGTTTTTTGTTTTTTTTTTCCCCCTCTGTGACTTGTACCTCCTCCTGGTGTGACATCACTAGGCCCATTCCTAGTTCCCATGGGAAGCTGCCAAGGGCTTTTTCTGGAACAAAGGGCCTTCCTTCTAGACCTCATTCTGCTCCATTCCCATCACACAAGACAGCCAGAGGGTCCCGCCAGCGATAGTGCCAAGAACCCAGGCTCTTGCTTTAGGGAGCCATGTTGGCAGGTTCTAGAGGATTAAATCTACAGTTTGTCCCACAAGTAGAAATCCCAGAAGCTCAAATCCAATAGGAATTGCCATTACTCTGTTCAATATTCCCACTTTAATTCAACATCTAAGGACAATGGTCACAAACAAGGAATTAAAATTCAGTACTTATGAAAAGTAACGTCAGTTCTTCTCCTGTATGCTGTAAAATCTTCAAGTAAAACAAATTTTACGGGTGATATAAAGTTTAAGACTAAAATCACGGGATGTTCAGGCGGAAAGGGACCACAGCTGTGAGCTTGCCCAAACTCTTCATTTGCGAAGTTAAACAAGGGCACACAGCTTGTTAGTAGCAAATCCAGGACTAAAATTGTGGACTCTTGATTTCCTATCCAATACTGTTTTCCTACCACAACATGCTGCCTTGGCTGTATCTGACACTGGTGGTCATTTGTGGTCCATTCAAACGGATATTTTTCATGGGTGATTTTAGACCATGTGCTCAAAGGCTATTTCAAGACAAAACTAAAAGCGAGGATGGAAGAAAAACCATATTCCCACCTATGTCGCTCCACAAAGACTGCTGGCCATGTTCAAGTTGGGTTATAGAAAGGAGCTACTTCTCCCCACCTGCAGCACTGCCAGGATGTGGGGCTCGGGCAGGCGGGGCCGCTTGCCAGTGAAAGGGAAGACGTGACTCCAAGCCATACTGGTACCAGAAGAATCAGAACAATTGCAAATGGCTATGCCAAAGCTGAACTTGATAAAGGGACTCAGTGATTTCTTAGACTATGTGACAAGAGATGAAAACGCAGCATTCTAATTTTTAAAAAAGCACATCATTGTTTGCATTCAATGAAACTCCTTTCAAAATCAACTTTCCACTTTCCAATTATATTCAACAACGTTCTAGCTAACATTTCGGCTGCAATTCAAATTAACTAATGCTCAAAAGAGCCCTAATAGACTTGGTTCTGAGCTCAATTGAATACAATCAAAGCTCATGAAACGAAGGGGGAAATGCTTATTTCATGCAAATTCTGCGTATCACTCAAGCTTAATTTTACTGATAATATAAAGGTGGGACATTTTGAACATTACAGTGAATGAAACTTTTAAGCAGTGAGAGTTATTTTATAAAATGCTACCTCTGAAAAGCTGATTGCCAAACAGTATAAAAATGGTTTGAGGCATAAATGCCAAGTTCATTTCTATTTCACTTCTGAGGTAACTATCTTTCAAATCGCAACAGCTGGACTATTTAACGCAATCTGGTGAATCAAAGTATAGTTCTTCTCTGGTCTCCCAGTGGGATGTCTGCATTAGTCTGTGGCAGCCATCCAATAAATGACGCACAGCCCGACGGTCTGAACTCTGTTTCATTTACAATAAAAATGGATAAAGCTGCAATCATATTTACCACCTT